CTTGCCCTCTCCCTTGTCTCTGACTCCTGGAGTCTGGAATAAGTTGTTCATTCAGTCATTTAAGACTTTTTCTTTGAGTGTCCACTATGAGCCAAGCACAGTTTTAGGTGCTGGAAAGGTTCTGATTAGAATCCTTGTTGTAGGGAGGTATAGACTGGAAAAGAGTGGATGGATCATCTCTCTTAACTCTAGAAACAGAAATGGCTGTGCCCCTGCTGTGTGCCAGCCCTGGGTTAAATGCTGGAGCTCCATCTGTGAGGAAGACAGAGCAGCCTCCACCCACGAGGCCGACTGGGTGGGGCAGACGAGGAACTGTATGTGGTGTGGTAGGAGCAAGGACAGGGAGGAGAGGCAACTGAGAGAAACCAGGGGGCCTTCCAGGAGGAAGTGATTTCTAAGTGAAGAGGAAAAAGAAGATAAGCAAGTGCAGAAGGGAAAGGAAGAGTGTCCCAGAGAGCAAGAACAATATCTGCAAAGCCTGAAAATGAGAGCATGTAGCCCGCTTGCAGACTTAAAGAAAGTTCAACATGGCTGGTACAGGAAGACTGTGTAACCGTTTCCTGCACGGAGGGAAAGGGTTAAAGGGAGGTTCTAGAACGTCTTAGCTAAAGCTTCAAACAGAAATCTCCTTTCTAAAACTGCTTCTTCTAGGGAGTCTTCTCTGCTCCCCATCATCAAGATAAACATAAATGTGTGGTTCTAAAGTTACTAGAAAACACCCTTCATCTTTGGCCAAGAGAAGTTAAGACAACCCCTGAGTTGGTCGCTTTTTTCCGAGGTCCCACCCAGGCAGAAGACCCCAGGAATTGCCTATGATCCTCTCCCTTCTGCTTGGCATGGCTAATCTGTCCTTGCAGGGTGCCTCCCTGATGGACAGTTTTGCCTAAACAAGACTGGCCATCAACTCTCTTTGGTGCCAGAGGCCTGAATAAGGAAACAGAATAAAAATCTTGCTTTCATCTCCTCTATGCATCAAATATTCAATTAACCTTCAGCTTGACACTGGGTTGTGTTTTATTTCCACCATGAAGCACACGCAAGAGGGTGGATGATCCCAGAGCCTCAAGCAATTAAAGCAGAAATCCTTCCCCAAAGCCAGGCCACCAGCATTATTGTCAGAAAGGGATTATTTGAAAGAGGTGGACTTTCTTCTGATCAATGTGGCAACTCTAGACAGTGATCAAGGTCCTTTCTCGTTGTAATGATGAAGAAATTCACAGTATTGAGCACTGTCTATTCATGGAGCTCTTTCTTAACATTGATTTTTTTATTTTTATAAATAAAAAGTGAATTTTATTATTTGCTCTAATGATTGTTCCTATGAGGTAGGTACAACTATTATATTCCATTTTTATCTACTTTCTTCTTTAACACTCCACTTGGATGTCTTAGAGGCATCTTAAATGAAATGGATCCAAAGTTAAATTTCTGGTTCTCCTTTGATATACCTGTTCCAGCCCATCTTTTCCATTTCTGTAAGGAGTAATTAACTCAAACTAAATCAATCAATCAAGGAGTAATTAACTCAAAACTAAATCAGTCAATCGATCAACCTGACCCAGTGACATGCTAGTAAATATACAATGACCGACTCTGTTGACAAGTTGGGGAGGAATCAGTCCACACCCTGGTTCATAGCATTTGGCGTTTGCCAATTTCCATAGTGTAAATATTCCCACCATGGTCTACTTCGAGCTACCAGCATAATGAGAACAGTTGACAAATGCCTGGACATTTAGCTATGGGCTCTCATGAGCCAGTGTGAGCCACTCACTGGGAGTGGATTCTTCTCTTTCACTCACACCCCATAGCCAAATCTTTAGTAAATCCTGTAGATTCTACTCAAAAAAAAAAAAAATGTGCTCAGAGTCCCAACACATCTGACATCTCCACTGCTAACACCATGGCCCCGACCACCACCATCTCTACCCAGGATTGTTGCAACAATCTTTTTTCTGATTTTCCTCTTCCCACTTTTACCCCCTTTAGGGTATTTTAATGCAGCACCTTGTGAGGTTCTGTTAAAACCAAAGTCCAATCACATTATCCTCTGATTGAAATTCTGTAATAGCATCCTATTTTATTCAGAT